CACATTTTGAGACAATTCAACATCCAACCCCTTTGTCACATGCACAGAAATATTAAAACATATTCTATATACATTTTCCTCCAGGCTATGTGTCATACTGTCATATTGAGGAGGGAGATTAGGACACGCGGCAATGAATTCAAGCTACGGGAAGAGATTCCACCCAAATATTGGGAAAAAAACTTCCTGAGAAGAAGACATGTTTATCAGCATTTTTCAACAGAGGCTGGATGGCTATCTGTCAGGAGGGTTTAGATTGTGTCTTCCTTCCTGACAAAATGGAGTTGAATTGGATGTCCCTTGTGGTCTTTTCCAATTATATGACTTTACAGATATAATTGTATATTAAGCACAAATGAATTCATTGTTCAGTCTTTGATCCCATCTCCAAGATATCTCATGCTATAGATGTAAGTATTCCAAAATCCCCAAAAATATGTAATGGAGGACACCTTTGGGCCCAAACTCTTTGGATAAGGGATACTCAACCTTGATGTCATCTCCAAGATATCAGATGCTATATAATAATAATAATAATAATAATAATAATAATAATAATAATAATAATGTTGAAGGATTTAATCGTCAGAATTGTCATGGTGGGCATCCTCAGAGGTTGTGAGGTCTGTTGGAAACTAGGCAAGTGGGATTTAAATCCATGTGGAATAATGTCCAGGGTGGGAGAAAGAACTCTTGTCTGCCTGAAGCAAGAGTGAATGTGGCCAGATGTGGGTGAAACGTCAGGAGAGAATGCTTCTGGAACACAGCCAGTCAGCCCAGAAAAATCACAGCAACCTAATAATAATAATAATAATAATAATAATAATAATAATAATATAATAATAATAATAATAATAATAATAATAATAATAATAATAATAAATGTAATGTTCATTTGTGGGATTAACATAACTCAAAAACCACTGGAAGAATTGACACCAAATTTGGACACGAAACACCTACTAATCCAAGGAGTGTTCATCACCCCTAAACACACACACTAACCAGCAGAATGGATTTTAAAAAAGAAACCATATATACATATACACATACACTCATATATATGCACACATACACACATACACATATATGCAAGCACACACAAATATACACATATGTACACACACACACACACACAGATACACATATACACAAACACACACATATACACAATATACATATAAACATATAAACACAGAAATACACAAGTATATATACATATACTTGTGTGTATACATGTATAAACACAAATATACACGTACACACATATTCATATACTTACACACATATATGCTTATACACAAGCACACACATATACACATTATACACATACACATATAAACACAGAAAAACACAAGTATATACACACGTGTGTATATACACACACATATATACATGCAAACACACATATATACACATATACACAAATATATACACACACATAAACACATATATACACACAAAACACATATACAGAGACTGGGCCACAGCAACGCATGGCAAGGGACGGCTAATAATAATAATAATAATAATAATAATAATAATAATAATAATAATAATGGAATCCTAGTGTTGTAAGGGACCGTGGGGAGCATTCAGTCCAACTCCCTTTGGACAAGCAGGAAGATACTGTTGGATCCCTCCTGATCCCTCCTGTTCAAAAGCCTCCAAAGAAGAATCCTCCACTGGACTCTGAGGCAATGAGTTTCACTGTTGAACAGCTCTTCTGATGGCCAGGATATTCTTCCTCATATTCAGGTTGAATCATAGAATCAAAGAGTTGGAAGAGACCTCTTGGGCCATCCAGTCCAACCCCATTCTGCCAAGAAGCAGGAATATTGCATTCAAATCACCCCTGACAGATGGCCATCCAGCCTCTGTTTAAAAGCTTCCAAAGAAGGAGCCTCCATCACACTCCGGGGCAGAGAGTTCCACTGCTGAACGGCTCTCACAGTCAGGAAGTTCTTCCTCATGTTCAGATGGAATCTCCTCTCTTCCTTTCTTCCCTGTCGTTTAAGATTATGATGTTGCTGTTTATTTATACCCTGCAAGAGGACTCAAAGCGGCCCCTGGGGCTCCCCTTCCTCCCTCTCCATTGCCTTCCCTCTGCCTCCCAAGGCCCCCTCCCCTTTCCTCGCTCTCTGACCCGGATGTGTTCTTGGATGTGGAAGATCTCTGTGTAGTGCTGCAGGTAGTCCAGGACAGCGGAGTGATGCAAGAAGGAAGGCAAGGAGGGCTCAAAGAGGAAGTCATGGAAGGCCATCACCTCCTTGGGCAGATTAGTCCTGAAGTCCTGGAAATATTCCAAAATCCCCCAAAAATCTGAAATACAGGACACCTTTGGGTCCAAACACTTTTGATAAGGGAATACTCAATGGACTAACTGTCTGTGGTAGAGTCCCTTCCTTCACACCGCATCTCTTGAGACAGCGTCATGCGGTTCTACGAGAAGGCAATTCCCTTCTGCGCCCTTACGATCTGTCTCTGCAGCAGTGGGAACAAGGCCAAGGTAATGTTCAGAGCTGTCAACATGTAAAGTGGGGCTCTTGCCACAATGGGTCAATCGACAGCTGCGCATGTGGATGCTAAAACGAGGCAAGGAGGGACAGCACCACTCAGCACTCACCCCAAGTGTCCCCCTGGGCAGCTCTCCTCATTTCCTGGCATCGCGTTGCCGCTGGTAAGTTAACACTCTGACCATGAGGGCACTGAACAGGTGGGCAGTTGCTCCTTCAGAGCCATGCACCTTCGACGGGGGGCAAGCCCTCTGTGTCTTTCAGCCACCCACACATGTTTTCCTGTCCTGACTCCCAAAGCAAACCAAGGAACAAGTTCAGCATTCCTTATTTAGAATTGCTCCAAAATCTGTAATTGTTTACATGAGTGGCTAAGACAGAGACACTGCTTTCTGATGGTTCAGTGTACACAAACTTTGTTTCATGCACACGTTTATTTAAAATGTTTATTAAAATGGTCGTCAGGCTGTGTGTATATATGTAACATAAACAAAGTTTGTGTTTAGACTTGGTTCTCATTACCAGGATACCTCATGATGTACATATATGCAAATAAAAGGTAAAGTTTTCCCCTGAAATTAAGTCTAGTTGTGTCCGACTCTCGGTGGTGGTGCTTATCTCCATTTCTAAGTCAAAGAGCCGGCGTTGTCCGTAGACACCTCCAAGGTCAGCATGATTGCATGGAGCACCGTTACCTTCCCGCTGGAGTGGTACCTATTGATATACTCCCATTTGCATGTTTTTGAACTGCTAGGTTGGCAGAAGTTGGGGCTAACAGTGGGAGCTCACCCCACTCCCCGGATTTGAACAGCTGACCTTTCTGTCAGCAAGTTCAGCGGTTTAAAATGGTTCAAAACTCGTTTGGGATGTGGTGGTTCAGTTCTAAAGTCAATTCCGATTTTCACAGAAAAAAATGTTGAAATCTTTTTAAAACTTCTGAGACTTCTGAATCCTTTTGTTAATAATTTGAAAGTGTTATTTCCTGTTTCATTGGGTGGTCTTTACTTTGGAAGTAGTTGGTTTAATCCAGAAGTGGAGAAAAGTAAGTGGAGGAAATTCCTTTCCTCTCCGGTTTAAAACTGGCTTCTCTGGCTTGACCTGAGGCCAGGGACCAGAATCATAGAGTTGGAAGAGACCTCATGGGCCATCCAGTCCAACCACCTGCCAAGAAGCAGGAATATTACATTCAAATCACCCCTGACAGATGGCCATCCAGCCTCTGTTTAAAAGCTTCCAAAGAAGGAGCCTCCACCACACTCCAAGGCAGAGAGTTCCACTGCTGAACGGCTCTCGCAGTCAAGAAGTTCTTCCTCATGTTCAGATGGAATGTCCGCAGGGAAAAGCTCAATCATTTCCAGCTCACTTCATGAGTCGTAACAAAAATGGCGGAAAAAGCTTCAGAAGGGTAAAGGGACTTCTGGTTTCCTTAAAAACTTCAAAATTGCTTCGAAAAGGCAATTTTTCCAACTTTATTCCGAATTACTAAGATTCCAATGGTAACTAACCAAGCCTACTACCTCTATTCTAGGGTCTAAATATCCAAAAGACACCAGATCTTGGAACTGAAGCAGGGTCAGTCCTGGTTCAGACTTGGATGGGGGACCATCAAGGAGCCCTACTTCAGCTGGAGGCTCTCTTTCAGAGGAAAGAAATGGAAAACCCACCTCTGAGTCTTGTTTTCATAAGAAAACTCTATGAAATTTGTGGGAAAGGAGACCTGCATGTAGAATCATAGAATCATAGAATCAAAGAGTTGGAAGAGACCTCATGGGCCATCCAGTCCAACCCCCTGCCAAGAAGCAGGAATATTGCATTCAAATCACCCCTGACAGATGGCCATCCAGCCTCTGTCTCAAAGCTTCCAAAGAAGGAGCCTCCACCACACTCCGGGGCAGAGAGTTCCACTGCTGAACGGCTCTCACAGTCAGGAAGTTCTTCCTCATGTTCAGATGGAATCTCCTCTCTTGTAGTTTGAAGCCATTGTTCCGCGTCCTAGTCTCCAGGGAAGCAGAAAACAAGCTTGCTCCCTCCTCCCTGTAGCTTCCTCTCACATATTTATACATGGCTATCATATCTCCTCTCAGCCTTCTCTTCTTCAGGCTAAACATGCCCAGCCCTTTAAGCCGCTCCTCATAGGGCTTGTTCTCCAGACCCTTGATCATTTTAGTTGCCCTCCTCTGGACACTTTCCAGCTTATCAACATCTCCCTTCAATTGTGGTGCCCAGAATTGGACACAATATTCCAGGTGTGGTCTAACCAAAGCAGAATAGTAATAGATATCTGTGTTCGATATATTGCTACAAACAGCAATGACACATATGCGAGTCAGTAAACACACTGGGAAAAAAGGGAGGTATATTTCAGACTGTTCAGGGTCGTTATATCATACACCCCTTAAGACAAATGTTCAAACAAACAAACAAACAATCCTGTGGGGGGAAAAAACCTGTGGTTGAAGAAGAACCTATGGGCCCTTGGCATACCTGTCTCATTTCCTGAGCTTCAGCCTCGGAAACAACCTGCTCTTGCTTCTGCACCTGGGTCTGCTGGCTGCCTCCTGCACCCCGAGAGGAGGATGGTGTGGGTCCGGCGTGCACCATGCTTCCTATTAGTCCTGTTGCTACAAGAAAAAGAAGACGACAGTTTGGGATATGCCACTTTTTAGGATGGAAAATAAAAATATTCAGTGCATTTGAACCAGTTTGTTCTTCAAACACAGCCACACTTCTCCTAGCATTTCTACACCCTCCTGCATGACTCTTATGATCAATATCCAGAGAAGGCATACCACTGAATTGTGCTAGAGGACCTAGAAAATGTTAGCAAGAACACAAGTTTTTTTTCAAATGTGGGTAAAAGAAGTTGCGGTTATACTATATATCAGGTGGTGCAGTGGGTTAAACTGCTGAGCTGCTGAACATGCTGACCAAATAGGTTCATATGAGATATCTATCTATCTATCTATCTATCTATCTATCTATCTATCTATCTCATGCATGGGCAAACTACAGCCCTTGTAGGATGTTAGGAATTGTGGGAGTTGAAGTTCAAAACACCTGGAGGGCCAAAGTTTGCCCATGCCCAATATATAAGTAAAGGTAAAGGTTTCCCCTGACATTAAGTCGAGTCGTGTCCGATTCTGGATTATGGTGCTCATCTCCATTCCTAAGCCAAAGAGCCGGTGTTGTCTGCAGACACCTCCAAGGTTATGTGGCCACTGGCATGACTGCATGGAGTGCTGTTACCTTCCCACCAAAGTGGTACTTATTGATCTTCTCACACTTGCATATTTTTGAACTGCTAGATTGGCAGAATCTGGGGTTAGCAGTCATGCAGTCATGCCAGTGGGCACATGACCATGGAGGTGTCTGCGGACAACACTGGCTCTTCGGTTTAGAAATGGAGATGAACACAACACTCCAGAGTTGGACACGACTCGACTTAATGTCTGGGGAAACCTTTACCTTTACTTATATATCAGGCATGGGCAAACTTTGGCCCTCCAGGTGTTTTGGAGTTCAACTCCCACAATTCTTAATAGCCTACCAGCTGTTAGGAATTGTGGGAGTTGAAGTCCAAAACACCTGGAGGGCCCAAGTTGGCCCATGCATGAGATAGAAAAATAGATAGATAGATATCTCATATGAGCATGCCCAAACTCTCAAGATCATCGATGGAGGTCCTTCTCCATGGCTGCTGCTAGGAGGCTTAACAGGGATACTAGGCTACCTTCCTACTTCTTTGGGGGATTGTTTCATATAATGGTTTTTCTATTTTGGTTTTTAATAATAATAATAATAACAACAAGAACAATAATAATAAACTTTATTTATACCCCACCACCATCTCCCCGAAGGGACTCAGGGCAGCTAACATGAGGCCAAGATCAAAAGAAATTACAATAAAGCAAAAACAAATAAACAAAAACAATAACATCACATAAAATACTTAGTAATAACATAGTCAAATAAAAAACAAAATCATAATAAAACAAATGATAAAATGGTAACAGAATTAGACAAAGAGAGCGAGGCATTTAAACTAGTGGATGATATGTTTTAAGAAGTTTAACATTTTGCATGTTTAAGACTTTACTTATATTTCTGCTATTCTGCAGGCCACCCTGGGTCCCATTTTGGTTGGATACCAATAAAGCGATGGAGCAATTGATGCCATTAGCTATGCTGCATGTTGGAATAAAAGTGGGATATAAAGTAATACTCTCAACAGAGAGGTAAAATTAAGGAGGTGAGACGGGACTGATGTGTTGAGGCTAGATAGTAAGAACAAAGGGGGTGAAGAATGTAAGAAAGAGGGGAATCTGCTGAATAATCTATAATAAGCAAAATATGTGGTTCCAAAGTATTAACAGGTGAGCCTGGCTTACAATTTCAGGCTGTCCAGGTCCTGAACCGGTGCTTGGCTGCTGTGATGGTCTGAATGAGGGCGAACAAATTGAAACTGAATCCAGACAAGACAGAGGTCCTCCTGGCCAGTTGCAAGGCCGAACAGGGCATAAGGTTACAGCCTGTGTTAGACAGGGTTATACTCCCCCTGAAGATGCAGGTTCACAGCTTGGGAGTGATCCTGGACTCATCGCTGAGCCTGGAAACACAGCTTTTGGCGAATTTTCGCTCAACTAAAACTTGGGAAGTCATACTTGGCCACAATGGTCCACATTCTGCTTACATCCCGTATAGATTACTGCAATACGCTCTATGTGGCGTTGCCTTTGAAGGCAGTTCAGAAGCTCCAATTGGTCCAACGGGCAGCAGCCAAGTTGCTCAATGCAGCGGCATATAGGTAGCACACAACCCCTCTGTTATGCCAACTCCACTGGCTGCCAGTGCTGGCTTTGGCCTATAAAGCCCTAAACAGCATACCTGTCCAAACATATCTCCCTCTATGATCCTCCTCGGAGGTTAAGATCATCTGGTGAGACCATGTTCTCAGTCCCAATCCTCTACAAATACTCTGAGAAGCAATTTAATTACCCGTTGGGTTGCTCTTTACTTTTTATTTAAAACCCTCCAAATAGATACATCCTCTGTTCATGTCCAGTATTTATTTTTAAAGTTTTAACTATTACATTTGGCCGAGCCATAGGTTTTTTTAAATTCTTGTGTGTTATTGTCTACTTGTGAGTTATATTAATTGTATTGTTTATTGCTTGTTATTTTATTATTGCTTGTTTTTGATGTGTTGTTGGGCTTGGCCTCATGTAAGCCCCTCCGAGTCCCTTGGGGAGATGGTGGCGGAGTATAAATAAAGTATTATTATTATTATTATTATTATTATTATTATTATTATTATTAATACAATAAGGAAGCCCTTTCCTCCTTGCCTGCCCAAGTCCCCTGTTGGTGTCTGCTGACGGAGGCTTGAATTCTGAGCAGACGACTGCAGCTGCAAACTTCCCTTTCCATGCTAATTCAGAAAGCTGCATTACTTCTCTGGAAGCGTAAATGCAGACCGCCTTCCCTGACTCTCTGCAGTGCCTATCAATCCATTCCGACAGGCTGCGGGTCCCTTGGAAACCACCTGCCAATGCAGCCAGCCAACCGACCTGGGAAGGAGGAACCGGACCGGATGGCGGCAAATCACCGCGGTTGCATGCGGATGGCGACTCCTGAAACAGCGAGGCACCTGTGGGTTTATTTAAAGCCCCGGCTCCGGTGGCCACGGCATCCGATACCGGCTAAGTGTGGCAGTTAAAGCCCATTATTTGCAATGCAGGCTGTTGTGGGTGTTTAGCGGGAGGGAAAGAGGCGTATCTCGTTCTTGAAATGCCCAGAGCACCCAGCCCCTCCTTGCCGAGGGTCTTCAGCGGAGGGGGGTCAAAAGAGACAACCATTCTGGTAGGAAGCAGCCACTGCCCAATGGTACAGCCCATAGCATAACCCAATAGCCTGGCCGACAGCTGTGGGGCACGGGGCCAGGAAGGACGTCGCAGGAAGCCGAAGCTCACTTGGGGCTTGGAAGGATCCGTGCCAAAACGTCTGGCCCTATGACAGGGCCTGGTCTACTGCTCTGGATTGTGTTACTTAATGTAAAAGGCAGACACAAAAGCTAAAGCTAAAAATACAAGCCTCTAAATCCCCGCAGGAGTAATTACTGCAAACTCTTAATCCCCTGGAATTATTCGGTTATCGCAGCGTTAGCTCCTGAGCAGAGATCCCGGGCTGCTTTGCGACAAGGCCAGCATTCATGCCAGCACACACTGAACTTTGTCTGGAACTATCTGTCTTCGCTTGGAGAACCAAACTGCCGGTACAAGTCTAACGTTGGGCACTTCCACAGCTCATGCACAAGATACATCTTATCTGCGCACATGCTAGGAGTTGTAATATGACCAGCCACTGCCAGAAGGGACAGAGTTTCATCTATGCTGATGATTGTGCCATTACTGCTCAAGCAGGGAGCTTTGAGATGGTAGAACAGAAGCTCTCCAAAGCTCTAGGTGCTCTCACTGCCCATTACAGGGAAAACCAGCTGATCCCTAATCCATCTAAAACACAGACATGTGCCTTTCATCTCAAGAACAGACAAGCATCCCAAGCTCTGAAGATCACCTGGGAAGGAATCCCACTGGAGCATTGCAGCGCACCCAATACCTGGGAGTCACTCTGGACCGTGCTCTGACCTACAAGAAGCACTGCCTGAACATCAAGCAAAAAGTGGGTGCTAGAAACAATATCATACGAAAGCTGACTGGCACAACCTGGGGATCACAACCAGACACAGTGAAGACATCTGCCCTTGCGCTATGCTACTCTGCTGCTGAGTATGCATGCCCAGTGTGGAACACATCTCACCACACTAAAACAGGATGTGGCTCTTAATGAGACATGCCGCATTATCACGGGGTGTCTGCGCCCTACACCACTGGAGAAATTACACTGCTTAGCCGGTATCGCACCACCTGACATCTGACGGGAAGTAGCAGCCAATAGTGAAAGGACCAAGGCAGAGACATCTCCAGCTCACCCCCTGTTTGGGTATCAGCCAGCACGTCAATGACTTAAATCTAGAAATAGTTTTCTAAGATCTACAGAGACACTCGCTGGAACACCTCAGCAAGCGAGAGTCCAAAAGTGGCAGGCTCAAACCCAGAACCTCAACCAATGGCTGACACCAAATGAGAGACTCCCCCCTGGGCACACAGAAGACTGGGCGACTTGGAAGGCACTGAACAGACTGCGCTCTGGCACCACGAGATGCAGAGCCAACCTTCAGAAATGGGGCTACAAAGTGGAATCCTTGACATGCGAGTATGGAGAAGAGCAAACCACTGACCACCTGCTGCAATGCAACCTGAGCCCTGCCACATGCACAATGGAGGACCTTCTTGCAGCAACACCAGAAGCACTCCAAGTGGCCAGATACTGGTCAAAGGACATTTAATCAACTACCAAACTCACAAAATTTGTATTTTGTCTGTTTGTTTGCTTTGTTATGTTAGAAATGTAATATAATCGACTGGTTGCCCTGACACGATAAATAAATAAATAGGAGTTGTAATCCAAGGTCTGAACTGTTTGTGTTTCTTAAAGTGGCCCAAAGTGAGAAGCAGGTGTAGAAATGAATCCGGTGCAAGGGAAGTTGGCTAGCAAAGGGCAA